GCCTCTTCTTTATCAGAATTTTCTTCCTTTGTATTGTTTGCATCGCAATTTAATAACACTGGTGACCATTTTTTGCAAACATCCTAAAATTCAAATTAATAAAATGAAATGTAACATTCATTTATTCTCACCGCAAGCTGTAGAAAAAGCAATACTATTACAATGGATTTAATCATAAACATATGATTTTTTTCTCTAAAATTTATATAATATCACTCATAAATTTTTATAAATTATGTTTTCAATTATATCCGGGCGCAAAAAAAAGAAAAAACTAATACCGCTTTATGTTTCCGATATTGATACATGAAGAGGAAAGCGTCATCTGCACCAACAGCAACAACAAGTATCATCGCAAGTAAATTTAAAAATGGAAAAAATTCAATTCCAAGAATTACCTGAAATTTTTTCAAAAAAAAAATTTTTTTAGAAATATTTTATAAAATTCATTTCCATGCGATCATATACCATATTTATTTATTTCTAAATGTTAGGAATCGGTAATGATGTGTGAAGTTTCTATACTAATAAAAAAATTCGTAATGCTAATAAATTTCGAAAAAAAACAAAACTAAAAAAAAACTCCATCATTATTACCAATTGTGCTTAAATAATGAATGATTTAATTTATCAATTCGATAAAATAAAGTTTTGTATCCTTCTCTATCTTCCTCCTTCTTCGATCACAATAATTGTGAAGCATTGAATAGAGTAATTAACTAGTAGAAAGAAGAAAAAAAAAATGAAACAAACCGTATAAACGAAGAAAGTAACACCAATTGATAATATTAAGGTAGTAGTGATGCAGAATGTGTAGAAAAAGCTATCAGTATATATCAGTATTATCAATATTACAAGAATGATAGCAATTACACCAAGTTGTACATCACTTCGAATTTCTTGCGCAAATAATCCGTCCTTAACACCAAATTGCGCCCCAGCTAATTTTAGTTCATCATCCTTATAATCTTCTTGAATCTTATGAAGTAGACTTGAATAAAAATAAAGATTTGAATAACCATCATTCGATTGTAAAATCTGTAAGTGATGCAAAAATTAAATTAAATTAAAATTGTCAAAAAATTTATCCATATGTAAATGTGCAAATATTCATGATGTAAGCTTATTTGATAGGTTTGGCCTTTTTTTGAGGTTTAAATTTCCCATAAGTATAGGTGGAATTAGAAATTCTTGGAAATTTTAATCAGTATAGTCAAATAAAAAAAAGAGAATACATTATTTTTGGCTTATTTGCAATTTTTCAATAGTATTAATAGAATTGTTGAAAGTAAGCAATTACCGGCAAAACGACAGCAAAATAAAATGGTTGATTAACATCTATAGGCCCGTTACTTTTCTGAAATATCATATTTGAAAGTTGTTTAGCAATGGGTAGTTGACATTGAAATGACGATTCGTCCGATTGACATGCCAAGATCAGCGATTTGAACATATTAATGCTGAAATTATCACATCAAACAGTTTACATGAATGATAATATGGATGACACGTTGTTTGAATGGATGATAATATTCTTAAGAATAAACTATTGTCTATCTGATTGCTGATTAAAACGGAAATCAAATTGTGATGCCTATTGCATCACATAAAATTTATTCACAACTATTTTTTATAAATATTAAGTTTATCACAAAATTAATTGCAACAGATTCTGATACATTATCTATAAGATATATTCCGATACATTATCTACAGGATAAATTCCGACACGGTATCTACGAGATAGATTACGATACATTATTTATAGGATAGATTACGATACAGTATCTACACAAAAGATTCCGATACGGTATCTACGAGATAGATTACGATACATTATCTATAGGATAAATTACGATACAGTATCTACAGGACAGATTCCGATAAATTGCAATATATTATTTATAGAATAATTTCAATCAATTCTTTTTTATCCATCTATACCTGCCTGTATTATCATTATCTCAAACTTATCTATGTTATTAATATCTACGATAAACTAAACCAATGTTTCTAATTCAAAAATAAACTTACTAATTAGAATTAAGCGAAGAGCATGAATTTGATGGTACATCCATATTTAAGCACATTGTGTAATATGGAAGATTAAAAGAAAATGGCAAATATTTTAGGTTTGTTGCATTTAAACCATTCACACTAATTTCACTATCAATAATCGAATCGATGGCACATAATCGTTCCATCATACGCACATTGAATAACTGTAATTGATAAAAAAAATTAAAAAAAAATCATTCAGGAATATTTTAGATGAGAGTTTGTTTATGTAATATGTAATAATCCAGTTTAAACATTTTTTATTGTGATCTAATCAATGTTAGGAAATATGATAAGATAAATATATGAATCAGTAAGTGGAAATATATATTAATGCATATTGAATGAATGATGAAATATGTAAACGATCCAAAATCCATTACTTAAACTGCTCTTTTTCTCTTATTTTTTTTTTGTGAAAACATTTTTAAAATTGCAATAGGAAATTTTGCACGTACACTATTGAACGATGGTACTTTAAAAATTAATTTCGACAATGGTAATATGATTTTATATGGAATCATGGTACCAAGGACGAAATATTGTTGACATGCGCCAACTGGCATTTTTGGCTTTGCTTCACTATTATTAATGTCTTTGTGATCAACAGGTAGTTCATCTCTGCAATCTTCAAAAATTGTAAATTGAATTAGTGAACTTTGAAAATATGTAAATTTAATGTCAAAAAAGTTATTTTACTTGCGAAATTTTTGTAAATTAAAAATAAAGAGCAGTAAAGATATTTTGAAAATCATGATATTTCTAAAAATCAATTAAATTTGCTAACTTTTGCTGCATGTTGTCATCAGTTATTTCACGTTTACTTATTGATTTGATATGCTCTTCATCGGCAGCTCTCTCAATTAAATTATCCAATGCTAATCGTTGATTCGATAAAGCAGTACTGCGAGTTTCAAATCCCTTAAATATAATCAATTTATTACCTATGTCAAAATAATATAAAGTTAAAGCTTTTCTTTTCTCTAATTTTTTACAATTAAAATATGCAAATCAAAATATATTCAAAAACATCGTATTTACATTTACTGTTTCAACATTCAATAAAGCAAAAGCAAAAAAAAAAGAGTTGCAAATAAGAATTTTAACAAAAATAATTGACGTTTTCAATCATTTTTCGTCAAAATGTTCATTTTAAATATTTAAAAAGTTAATATTAAATTATTTTTCTGATTAAAAAAGAAAGAGTGAAAACTTACAACTGATGGATCGAATACGAAAGCATGGTAATGAAATAGCGCTGCATAAATTGATAAAAATAAGGAAATTAACATTACGATAATAATAACATGCCAGGAAAAGTCTAATAAAAAGTTCACATAACTAAAAGAAATTAAACAAATTAGTTTGAATTAAACAAAGTTAATAAGTCAAAAATTTTAAATTACTGAATTAATTATATTTTAATGAGACAATAAAGTAATGCCTTGTATACAAATCTTATCTTGACATAGTCTTTGTATAGCAGAATATGCTCAAAAAAAAATTTGAAAAGTTATTGCTACATGTTTTAATTAATAGGCCTAATAATTCTAATGGCCTAATAGTTCTAATTAACGATAAAAGTAAATTAAAGCGAAATAATTTCACTGTAAATATGGCATTAAATTCGCATACTACAAGTTCGATAGTTTATAAAAGTAAGCACTGAAATTGATTTTGAGTAAAAATTTTTACCTATTTCGAACATTTGTCATAATTGTTTCTAACTTGTTGGAAAAATTTTTCCATCCCATTACTTAATCAAACTTCACCTGTCAACTGCAAATATCAAACAATAAACAAATTATACTGAAATTTTTTAACAAAATAAATTAAAAAAAGTTACACGAAATATTGAAAATTATACGTCACAATAAAACTGCTCTTAAATAACTTTTTTGGTTTTTGTTTTTTAAACAGATAAATGATAATGCATTTATTGTAAAAATTCTTATATTATACTGACTTATTACGATTTATCAAAACATAAGAATGGCAATGATATATATTACACCTATGTATTATCACTCATTCACAAGAGCCAAGTAGCATATTGACAAGAGCCAGGTAGCATACTCATTACTAACACATGAGAAGGGACAACGGCCAGATAGCACACATATTATCACCAATTTATTGATTAGTTACGAGCAACAAAATTATATAAACTTAGCTAAATAGCATATTCCTACTATAAACTCTTAAAAATTTTAACATTTTTATAAAACAAACAAATTACATCACTTTACATTACATCTATAATAAAATAAAAATGTAAGCAATACAATCAGCTATTGAAATGATAAATTCATATTTGATAGCACTTTTACGGATGTTTGTGGTTCAGTCGCTTCTTTCATTTTTACTTTTTTCTTCATCTATTCTCAGCATTTTTTGCACACAGCACTGATAGCCTTACAATCTTTTCCCATTTTATTGCTTTAATTGTTTATTCCTCTTTTTTTTCACTCCGTCAAATCATGTCTTTCAAAGTAAACATCTCAAATTACAATCATTAATCGCTTACAAATTCTATTAATGATTAAACGTTTAATTCTTAAATGTATTAATAGTTTCTAGTGATTACTGATAACAATAACACTAACATGACAATAATAATAATGATAATAATAATAATTAATGATAATAATAATGATAACAATAATAATGATAATA